GAAGGTCTAATCTGCCAATGAGAAATTGGACAGACCTGTTTAAATAAGACAGCTTCCACTTGGCAACTCAACGATTCATGTAAAATATATTCTAAGTGCCTGATATACGTGGAACACTTTGCTAGATGTTTAAAACACAAAGGTGAATAGCATATAGTTATCAATCTAATCTAGGAAGGGAGGAAATAAAAATTAAGTATACAAATAGTTTATGAAAGCATTTAAGTGTCAAAACTGAAATATAAAGTTAATTCCACCACAAATAGTTAATTTATAAAATCATTTGGACTTATAAAAAGCTTTTTGATTTCTTTAGGAAAGTAGAAGAGCTTTGCAGATGCCTAGAAAAAAAGACTAGAAAAACACATGAAAAACGTGGCCCTTGTTATGTGTTTATATTGTGAGACTAAGTGTTTTTTGTTGTTTGAAATCTTTATTTCCCAAGTTTTCTACAGTAAGCATGTACCAGATTTATTAAAAAAAAAAAACTTGGAGGCGGGGTTGGGGAGGGTGCCTGGGTGGCTCAGTCGGTTAAGCGTCTGACTTGGGCTCAGGTCACAATCTCAGGGTTCGTTACATGAATCGTTGAGTTCCCAAGTGGAAGCTGTCTTATTTAAACAGGTCTGTCCAATTTCTCATTGGCAGATTAGACCTTCTTCAGTGTTGAGAAAAGCTTGATATTAGAGTGTATGTGTGCACGTACGTGTATAGGTTTAATATGAATGGAACTACTGAACTAGGAAAGGACACTTTTTCTGTTTTTCTTTTTTTTTTTTTTTTTTATTTTAGAGAGAGAGAGACAGCACATGGAGCCCAATGTGGGGCTTGATCTCACAAACCCTGAGACTATGACCTGGGCCAAATCAAGAGTTGGATGCTTAACCGACTAAGCCACACAAGGCACCCCAAAAGAAAACAACAGTTTATTTAATTTTTTAAAATGTGTTTAAAATACACTAAGCAAAGAGTCAAGTAAGAGGTTAACAGGTCTATAACAGAAGCTATTCTGGTGTCAGCATACCAAATAAGCAAAATAAATTTAAGGAGAATTTTCAGTAGAATAAAAACTGCATAAACATGTTACTTTCTTACAATAAAGATCTACTTTTCTTCCTTTTCTTAGGTAATTACAAATATTTAGAAGGTCTCCTCAAGCAACAGAAAAAAACGACCTCTATAAGCTCTCCGTCTCCTGGTCATGCCCTCCCAGTTATTCCCTCTGGCATTCTCTCTGTCTCCCTCTCCGCATCTATCATCTCTAAAGTGGCCCTTCTCTCTCCATCTCTAATTACTCTTCGACCTCGGCCTCAGACGGTCCCTCTCAGTGAGTCTGACTTCCCGTCTCTGGATAACCCCCATTCTCTGCTTCCTGTGTGTGTTCCTCTTTCTGTTTCTCCTCCAGTGTGTGTGTCTGTGCGTGTATGCACGTGGATAGGAGTTTGTGTTCCTCTTGGACTCTCCATTTAGTCAGTTTCTTCCCCACAGCTACCTACCCGATTTCCAAGACATTTATTACATTTTCCCTCTCATCTTTATAAACAAGTAGGAATGTTATTATTATCCCTATTTTATAGATGATAAGAAAACACAAACTGGACTACTGATATAAATTTGAGAGTTTAGGATTTAAATCCAAGCGTTTCTCCTCTTTAATACTCTTCTGGTATTCCATGGCAAAAAAACTTGAAACAGCCCAACTAAAAGCCAGTATTTACATGTATTCTTTCCTAAGAAGCAAATCTCCTATTAGGGAGTGCCACATACCTTTTGCCTCGTTTTTGTCTCTGTACCAAGTTAAATAGTCTGGAGCTGTCAGAAATCTATACCATTATGTTAACAGGCTAACAGTGTTATCTGGGAACCTCACAATACTAGACACCACACCAGAACCTGCTGTTTCCAACAGTTCTTCTCTATTTTTATCCCTAGTGTGGAAACAGCCATGTTTGACATTAAACAAAACAAAACAAAAAAGATACAATAGGGACAACACATACTAATAAAACTGAAGAGTGAACCTGAAGAATGGAAAGCTATATAGAAGGCTAGCATGAGACAAGTGAAAATGCACACCACGGACTAGGAGCAGCTGGTCTATGTTTTATTGAGAGAGTAGAAAACCCTCTTCAAATGCAGGCTTACGGCCTGCTGAGCAACACCCTGTAACTTCTCTTCTACCTAAAGCTCTGACAACTAGAATTTTTCTATAATTCAATAAACTCTTATGACTTACCCAGATTTCATCCATCCTGCTGGACTCATTAACGGGGAACTCTAAATGTTTTCTCCACTAGCTAAGAGCACACTTTCTGGTGGGTGGCACAGCAGAAGTAGGGTTCTCTTTCAAGCTACCAATAGCCTAGTTCCATTTCTTTTCACTTCTGTAAGTGGGAAATCGGCAACAAATACAGTGCAACAAAGAAGAAATGTCTAAATTATAACTCAGGTTGATGGTTGTCAAGGATCATCCTGTAGGTCCCCAGTTTTATGTAGGGTGTGAGGGCTAGTCTTAGATTTATATAGGTTTATCATTAAAAATCTATACTTTTACTTCTGGCATGCACTAGTTCATTTAATTCTATTATGTCTGATGAGTGCATAAGTACTGAATCGACAATATGCCAGTTTTATCATTCATTCTGGTGAGCTATTTTGTGAATGGTTAGTTTATGGAGCTAATGAGGACAGGGTCACAGATTCAAATATCTTGGCCAATTAGCTTTGTTGTGTTTCTGGGGTCGAAGGTTGCAGTCAACAACCTTAACCTTGGCTAACAAAAACAAAACAAAACAAAACACACTGATCATGTGAAGTATTAGAAGAATGAGTTATAAATGTTGACTAAAATCAATGACTATCATAAAAATAATAAAATTTTTTAAAGGAATGATAACATAACCTGTATCTTTTACTAAGCCTGGTTACTATGTGTCTAGTTCAAATACTCGCTAATCTTTTCAGTCATGCAAGGTTGGTTATTATTATCCCTGTTCCACAGATGATAAGAAAATGAACTCAGAATAATATGACCAAAGTCATAAACTATTAAGTGGTGGAGCCTGAATTCAAACTTTGATCTGATTCCAAAGCTTAGGTTATTTCCACAATACCATATAGTCTCTAAAGGGCATCCCTTAGAGACACAGGACAGTCAACAAAATGTCCTTATTCAGAACTGTTCAGCACAATCATTACTGAGCATATCTACTACATACACTTAGATGCGACAGCTGAGAATTTACCTTCCAAAACCTCTTTAAGCAAAAAGCAAAGATTCTTGTTCTTTAAGAACAAGAGCATGGACAACAAAAGAAAAAATAACACATTATAGCATACAAAGTAAATTTTAATGGAAAGGACTACTGTCATCGCTTTGTATAAAAGTCTATAGTGAAACAATAGTTATCTTGCAGGTTCATAACTGGAGGAAATGAAATTACGAAGACAGAGCCAGAGGATACCACATTAAAAGAGAGTAAAGAAAATATTTCCTAAAAATCTGAGTCTGCAGATACCTTGTAATCAAAAACCACTTGTAGGAAATAAAAATAAACACTTTAATTCTTAACCCTAAGATTTTGCTTTGACCAACAGATCAATTTTCTTTATTAGACTTTTCTTCTTGGTTTCTCTCAACTCTCACTCCTTGCAAAGGTGTGCACACCAATGTCCCTAAGAGTTTTACCTTAAAAAAAAAAACGAGGACACCAAGCTTTATGGAACCTACCCACTAAGCTAACTTTTAGAGTCAAATAGTCTGGCTTAAAAAAGAATTCTTTTTAAAGCAGGAATGAGAGGAAGGACCAAAAAATGGCTCTATAAAACTCTGTCATAGTCAATAGTCAATAACGAAGTCATCAACACAAATAATTGTTCTACTATAAGCTACAATGTGCAGACAGAAAGCAGCATTCTTACTAGAGGTTACAATGAAGCACCAGTCCAAAGCACATCCCAACAACAATCTTTTCACAGCAGCATTTTGGAAACCTCTAAAAGTGAAAAATGGCCCAATATAATTTTTATATAAAATACAACTGCTAAAAAACACACTGCAATCTGAGAACTTCTATTTACAGTATTTTGGGGGTGGGGGGAAGAATCTCAAGAAAATACATTATCTAAAATTATCATTTTTCATCATCATAGTCAACAATTACAATAAAACAATGAGCACTGACTCCATGTACTACCAATCTCCTTATATTAACATCTCATTTAATCCTCATAAACTAACCTTGCAAGGTAAATGTTACTCTATCTATCTTAGAAACTAGTAATCAGACTTAGAGGGGTCAACTAATTTGCCAAAAGTCACAAAGTAAGTCACAGCACCAGGATCTGAAGTCAATTTGTTCAACTTTGTACATTCGGCTAATTCACCATACCGTCATCCTGGTTTCTTTGAACTACACTTAAGCATTTTCCAACCAATGATATCAGTATAAATACCAGTTAGGATTACCTTATTACTCTACATCAAAACCCTTAAAACACTGTTTGTAAAAACACATTCTCTACAAGGGGAAAAATAATTTTTTTAATGTTTTTATTTATTTCTGAGAGAGACAGAGAGAGAGAGAGAGAGAGCAGGGGAGGGTCAGAGAGAGGGAGACACAGAATCTGAAGCAGGCTCCAGGCTCTGAGCTGTCAGCACAGACCCTGACGCAGGGCTCGAACCCACAAACCGTGAGATCATGACCTGAGTCAAAGTCGGACGCTTAACCGACTGAGCCACCCAGGTGCCCCCACAAGGGGAAAAATAAGACCAAAAGCTACCTGTTTAGAGTCTCAGATCTTAATTGCCCAGAAGACTGGAATATGGGCTGTTTACATTCTGAATTCTAACTATGAGGAAACACAGACTTCTAGCATATATACCTAAGACAGATGAAGATGACCCTAATATTTCAGCTAGTATGCACACAAGGGTAGTGGGACTGTGTCAGAATTAGAACTAGACTTAGTATGTGAAAGGGGTTAAAAAAAAAATACAAGACCTGCTGGAGACAGGCATCAGTTTCGCACAACTGAGGAACAGTAAGCGCTGAGATACTTCTGTGATGAAGGAAGGTTATAACAGAGCACAATGGGTAGAAGGTGAGTGTATTTGAGGTAGGTTAGTGTCCTAACTCTGGGAGACCTTAAATCCAGATGAGGTTTAAAGCGGACTCCGCAGGTGAAAGGGCTTTCATGTCACCTCTTCAATAAGTACATGGCTTAAGAACGTTTGCATGGCTTGCATTCGTTTCCAAAGACACTTCCCTTATTTATTAAATCATTCGATATTCACAAAGAGCATGGTCGAGTTGACAAAGACATGAACGTGGTTTTAAAATTCAACGGATCTAGACTGGAGACAGGAGGACAGTAAAGTTATATCTGAAACGTGCTTTCTCCCACGTATCACATATTATCCGCTGAAGCCCACAATACTGGAAGGCAGGCAGGCCAAAGACTATTATCCCCATTTTTCAGATATAGAAACCGAGGCTGCGGAAAACGGGCACAAGTCCAGCAAGTAGCAGACCTGAGACTCCTCCCCGGACAGTAGTCTCCAAATCCTGTGCTTCTTCCCTTTCTCAACTCTGAGAGGTGGCTTTACTGAATCAAGAAAACTTTTAATAATCGGACTTGGGGGTTTCCGAGTGCCGCCCGAGAAAACCAGGAAGTACATGCTCCCGTATAGACAGCTCACTCCCAGCTCATGCCCATAGCCCAGGGGCTCCTGGGCAGCCGAGCGGACTCACTGGGAAGGCTCGCAGCCCGGAAATCGACAGCAGCCCCGGGGTCTTCTTGGGGCGGCCTCTGAGGCCCACAGCCCCGTACCCTTGGCGGGGGTGGGGGGATCGCCACGGACCCGCTTAGTACCTGTTGAAACCCGGGAAAGGAATGTCCTCTCCGCATTAGAGTATTTGGGAAGATGGCCCAAAGCGGGCACGCAGCCCCTAGAACAGCTAAAGGGCCTCGAGAGGATCCCCGCAACCCAGCGCCCGCAGGGGTCGAAGGGCGGCAGCTTCCCAGTAACCTCCGCCCCAGGCGGAGACCCGCCCCGTGCGTCACGTGAAGGGGGAAAAATACTGGTAACAAAAGGGGAAAGGAAGTCTTGTCCAAAGTGTGTGGGGAGAAGTGGGAGCAATCAGCCCTAGCTAGGGGTGTAGAGGCAGGAAAGGACAGTGACATTGGGCCGCTCGTTACCAGGGTCGCCGTCGCTCTCCGCTTCCGCCGCCTCCGTGCAGCTCTTGCTCTTCCGCTCGCACCGCTGGGGCGCGCGCCAGGCCTCGACTCCTCCCCCCGTCCGCGCCGCGGGGCCTTCTGGGGGCTGTAGTCCCCGCAGGCCCGTGCGGCTCGGGCTGCCTCCAGGTCACGTGGGGGAAGAGCGGGCCGAACCGCCAAGGGCGGGAAGGCGTTTGCGCTTCCATCTGCTCAACCCTCCAGACTTCCCTTTAGCTATAAACGTGCTCAGACGTCCTCCCATCCCGCTCTTACGCCATCCCTCCTTTTCCGTTCATGGCCAAGTTTTGAAAAAGGCAATCTAGGGACGCCTGGGTGGCTTAGTCGGTTAAGCGTCCGACTTTCGCTTAGGTCATGATCTCGCGGTTCGTGGGTTCAAGCCCCGTGTCGGGCTCTGTGCTGACTGCCAGCTCAGAGCCTGGAGCCTATTTCAGAGTCTGTATCTCCCTCTCTCTCTCTGACCCTCCCCTGCTCACGCTGTCTTTCTCTCTCTCTCTCTCTCTCTCCTAGAAATAAATAAAAATTAAAAAAAAAAAAAAAAAAAGAAAAAGGCAATCTAATCTGCTGTCTCCACTTCCTCTTTCGTGCTCTTCCCCGCAGGTTCTGCTCCAGCATAAAGTGCCTTTGTTGCCATCATTATCTTAATTGCCAAACTCACGGGAGGAATTTCCAGGTCTTCTAACTTAACCTTTAGACGCCATTTGAGGCTGTTGGACATTATCATTTATTTTCTATGTCTATGTCTGGATTTTCTTTCTTCCTCTCAGGCCATCCTTCTCAGTCTCCTTCAAGCACTCTCTTTCTAACCCAGCTCTTAAATATGAGTAGTGTTCTCCAGAGTTCTTGGCCATGGGGTGAAGGGGGGTGGGGGGGAACTAAGCTCCACGTTTGTATTCCCAACGCCATAAACGACCCTTCCTCATCCATGTCCCACAGGCATCTCAAATGTAGCAATTTGAAAAGCAAACCTCCCATCCCCTATTCACTAATACTCACTCCGACTTCCAACCTACATTCCTCCTCCTCTGGTTTCCTCTTCCACGCATGCCCATACAGTCACCAAATTTTATAGTCTGTCTCCCAAGTAGCTCTTGAATCTGTCCTCTCCTCACAACCACTGCCAGGGACTTAACTCAGACCTGCATGATTTCTTGCATTGGCTTTCTTACTAGTCTCGGCACCTCAGCCCCTCTGGTCCTCCCTACTGTCATTTGACCCAGTTATGCAAATGGAGAATTTAATCATGTCAACACTTTTGGCAATATCCGTTAGAGGATCCACTTGATTGAATTTGGGAAGAGGTATGGAGGTGAATCCCCTCTGTAGCTTTTACAAAACAAGAATGCCAGCCCCACTCCCCCATATTGTGGTTGGGAGGTTCAGAGAAGGGAGATTTATAAGAGATCTTATTTTAGGGTAGATGGGCATAGGCAAACTTTACAGGTTCCCCCAAGTGATTGCATCATGTAATAAGGATGTTTTTTATTGCCTACTGTACACCAGGCATTGTTCTGGGTACTGACAAAATTCTACAAAACAAGACAGTCCCTGCCCTGTCTCTTGGAAGAGACAGATTTTAATCAAATGATTACATACCAAAAACAAAACCAACAAGAATAACAACAAAAAACACAATTACAAGTTGTGATAAGAATTATACAGGAAAAGCAATCCGTCCCTTTCCCTTTCTTTCTGACACTGTTCCAGCCCAGGGTGGGAATCAGCATATGCTCCTCAGCCTACCAAACAAAAACTGTCAGGAGCTAATTTCCTTCTTTTCACTCCCACATACATCTAGATTGAACAGACTGCCTGATTACACTTGCTTGCTCACCTTTGCAAAAGCTGTCCCTCTGTTTGGAAAACCCTTCCCCTTCTCCCTGTGCTAACTTCTACCCTGGCTAATCCTCCTCTGTTGGACTAAAAGCAAACCCAACAGAACACCAGCCACGTGGAAGGATTTTCTGAGGATTGAACTGAGTCAGCTGGTAACTCTCAGGCAAACAGAGGGGAGCCAGGAAGAGTTGAATGTGAGCTACTGGGAGCGGGGCCACGTTAGCCAGTTTAGAAGCACGGGGCCTGAGCCAACATGCCCATCCTTCAAAACACAGATCAAGTGTCACCTCCTCCAGGAAGTCTTTTCTGAGCTCCGCCAAGATGAAATACTGCCTCTTTCCTCGGTATTCATTGCACCCATGACAACCTCTCTTCTAGTGAAACGCTAGACCCAGATCACACCAGGTTTGAGGAGCCAACTATTAAATATTCGGGAATTTCCCAAGTCAGTTTCTAAAGCATTGGAAGCTTGAAATCAGCAGTGATGGGAGTATTTACACCACCATGGAAATAAGCAAATGACAAATGAGGGTCTTTGGGTTTGGTTTTGTTGGGGTTTTTTTTTTCCTTTTTGGAGCACCAGTTTGCCAGCACATCACTGCCATTATCATGTCATGCATCTCTACGTTGTACTGTGGTGATTACTCCCCTATTAGATGAATTCCTTGTAACAACTGCACTTAGCAGAATTTTATTATTTATTGTGATGCACCGGAAACTAGCACGATGCTAAAGGGACATACAGTGGAGAACAAAAAAGCATGGTCCCTACTGTGAAGGAGTTTGCAATCTAGCAGATAAGACAGAAAATAAACAAAGACCTCTACATTTACAAACTGAGCTGGCTGCTTTGTGATAGAACATCCTAGCAACGAATGGTAGTGGACAGAGAACACTATGCTACTTTAACAAGGTGGTCCAGGAATGCCTCTCTGAGGAGACGACCTTTCCACTGGGCACCAAAGGATTAGAAAGAGATGATCAAGGGGAAAAGTGTTCCAACCAAAGGAATCAGGCTATACAAAAGAGAGGTAGGCTGTCTGAAGGACAGAATGGTCAGTTTTACTGGGATGGTGTGATGATTAATTATATGTGTCAACTTGACTGGGCCACAGGGTGCCTCGATTAAACATTATTTCTGGTTATGTCTTCAAGGATGTTTCCGGTAGAGATTAGCATTTGAATCAGCAGACTCAGCAAAGTAGATTATTCCCTCCTTCAATGTGGTCGGGCATCATCACATCTGCTAAATCCTGAATAAAACAAAAATCGGGAAGGGAGGATTCACTCCCTTCTTGCCTGTCAGTTGAACTGAGGCCTTGGTCTATTGGTCTTCACCTGCCTTTGGACTGGGATTCACACCGTTAGCTCCCCTGGTTCTCAGGCCTTTGGACTCAGACTAGAATTACACCACTAGCTTTCCTGGGTCTCCAGCTTGCAGAGGGCAGATTGTGAGACTTCTCAGTCTCTACAATTGCATGAACCAAAAACTCACAGTATAAAAACACAGAAATCTCTTCTACATATACATTAAGTGTACATATACATAAAAAAAACACAAGTTGGAGATCTATATCCTATTTGTATACATATATTTACATAAATAGGAAATATATATATATACAGATGATTGATGATTGATAGATAGATAGGTAGATAGATAGATATCCTATTGGTTGAGTAATCCAGATGATAAGATGCGGTCATTGGAACCAGGCATGCATAACCTTGAGGCCACAGTGAGGACCCTGGACTAAATTATAAACACAAAAATGTTCAGACAAGGAGATGATGTTAGCCGATTCATGTTTTGATACAATCATTCTTGGTTTTGTTTGGAGGCCCAGAATAGAAGTGGAAGCCCACTTGTTGCTATCGTCTAGCTAAGAAGTCATGAAACGAAATACTGGCAATCAAACAAAGTGGGTGGATTAGACAGGCATTTTCCAGATTGGGTCAACAGGATTTGCTGATAGATTGAATGTAGGGGACAATGGGCTGGTGAAAAGAAGAGAGGACCCAAGGACAGAGATTGTTCATATTCATCTCCATATCCTCAACCCTTAGAATAGGGCCTGGCTCATAGTAGGTGTTCAATAACTGTGTGTTGAACAATTTTATCCATTCTACATGCTAAGCTCTGTGCCCTATCAAAGTCACATTGCTTCGTATAAGGTCTCACTAGACCATATAGTACCTTTGTGCAAATAAGAAAAAAAAAATAGTGCCCCTTCCTCTAGGTGGACACAGCCCATCACCAGAGTGCACAGGTTGATGAACAGAGAGAGCATAAACTACATTTCAGCCCCCACCTACTTTCTCAGCTGGCAGCCTTGTGCTGTACGTAGCCTGCACAACCACACACAGC